CCGGATTTTAGGAGATCCCTCTGATAAAAAAGCAAGTACTATGTGAAAATCAGCACAGAACAGAAAATGGGGGTAGAAGTGTTGGATATCAAGGTCTGAGAAGTTGAGCAGTGTTCAACAGGCACATAAATTCCTTTAGTAACTATCTGTGACTATTTTTTTAAAAATACTAATTTTTTTTCTTCCAATTTGTGTGTATTGTTTTAAAGAATGGTTACTAGCCCTGGCCAGTGTGCCTCAGTGGTTAGAGCATCAGCCAGAGCACCAAAGGATCTTGGGTTCTATTCTGGTCAGGGGTACATACCTGGGTTGCAGTTTGATCCCTGCCCAGTGTGTGGGGGGAGGCAACCAATTGGTGTGTTTCTCTCATATAGATCTTTCTCTCTTCTCTCTTTCTCTTTTCCTCCCCACCTTCCACTCTATCTAAAAATCAATGGAAAAATATCCTTGGGTGAAGATGAACAATAAATAAGTAAGTAAGTAAATAAATAAACAAACAAATAAATAAATATTACTAAAGTATTATGAACCAACTACTTAAAAAGCAAAACTGTTGCCTAGCTGGTGTAACTCAGTGGATTGAGTGGCCTCCTATGGACTGAGAGGTCCTGGTTCCATTCTCAGTCAGGGCACATGTCTGGGTTCCAGGCTCCATCCCCAGAAGGGCGCGTGCAGGAGGCAGCCATCTCTCTCACATAGATGTTTCTGTCTCTCCCCTCCTCTCTCTCTACAGAAAATCAATACATATTAAATAAATTTTTAAAAAAGCAAAACTGTTAGGTATTTCTTTTGACCTAGGGTTGCTGTAAAAGAAAATTGCTGAGATACTAACCTCTAATAAACTGAGAAATTGGGAACCTCTGGCCAGGGTGCTGAAAAGAGATCAAAATGATCATAAGGGAATAGAGCAGCAATTTTTTTAAACATATTTTTTTATTAAAAGTTTTTTTCTTTATTGATTTTAGACAGAGAGAGGAAGGGAGAGGGAGAGAGAGATAGAAACATCAATGAAAGAGAACATCGATTGGCCGTCTCCTACATCCCCCCACTGGGGATTTGGCCCACAACATTGTTATGTGCCCTGACAAGGAATTGAACCAGTGACCTCTTGGTGCATAGGTCGATGCTCAACCACTGAACCACACCGGCCAGGCTAGAACAGCAATTTTCAACCAGAATGCCATGGCAGGCACACTGGTGTGCCACAAGAATTTTTAAAACATGCAGTACCTGACTATTTAGTTACAGGCACTGATCTCTTTTCTCTTATACTGTCAAATAAAAAATAACAACAGCCAACACAACAATAGCTGTCCTGTGTAAATAAATCAAAACTATATCCTTTTCTTTGTCAGACTGGAAAAAAAATAGTTTTGGTAAGCCACAGAATTTTAGAGATTAGTGTATGTGTGCCATGAGATGAATAAGGTTGAACATTGCTGGAATAGAGTATGGAACCTTCACCTGAGATGACTGTAAAAAGTAATATAAACAGAGTCAGTTTTACATATGAGTCAGAGCTGCTAGCACAGAGGAACTGCCTTGTTTGTCTTACTCCTCAAACCCTTGAAATGTTAAAATGGACAAAATAATCTTTGGACTGGGCCTAAAGAAGCATTGTATCCCACACAACTGTTTCCATAGATAAGAAGAAAGCAAATATTATGACTACAGGACTAAAAAACAATCCTTAGAATTATTATCACTGTATTAGCTTATCTGTACCTAAAGAAATTTCTTCTCTTTAAGTATTTGTTACTGTTTTTCTTTCTCACAAATACCCCTTCCTTTCAGCTCCTATTTGGGTTTCTGCCTGAATCAGTGATTCCTGAATAGCTATCCTTTTGGATCTCAAATGCTTGTTTGCCTCTCACTTTGGCCTATTATAATTGTTGTTGTTAATATTTTCAAATTGTAAGAGGAAGTTTATTTAGAAAGTTACAGAAATAGTAGAAGTGAATCCACTGGGTTGCATGGACTGAAGAACTAAGTTACAGAGGCAAAAGAAGGGCTCCTTGGAGCTTAGGAGAGAGGCAAAGGTCACTTGACTGGGAGGAAGTGGAGGGGGAAGGGAAAGACACAGCACACTCCTGAGAAGGAGAGATGCTGGCCTATTATTTTATTTTATATTTTTAACCTTTTCGTGTTTGTTTCTTTTTTTTTTTTCTTTTTCTTTTTTTTGTTAATCCTCACCCAATGGTATTTTTCCATTGATTTTTAGGTAGAGTGGAAGTGAGGGAGGGAGGGGGGGAGAGAGAGAGAGAGAGAGAGAGAGAGAGAGAGAGAGAGAGAGAGACATGCAAGAGACACATCTATTGGTTGCCTTCCGAAGGACCCTGGCCAGGGCCGGGGATCAAACCTGCAACCCAGGTATGTGTTCTTGACCAGGAATCAAACCCGAGACCTTTCAGTCCGCAGGCTGACACTAACCACCGAGCCAAACCAGCCAGGTCTCACCTATTATTTTTAAGTTAACATGGTCTAAAGAAATATAATAAGCATTTAATAGATGCTTAATATTTTTGACCATTAAGTATGTGCTATATACCAGTGTTCATAGTGCAGATGCACACAAACACAGAACACCTGAATCTGTACCCTTTAAAGGTTAAAACTTGTGAGGAGAGCAGTAAGAGATGTAAATAACTAAGGTTAGGGGTAGGACAGGATCCAAGGTAAGGTTTGATGCAACCTAGAGCCTGTGCACTCTTGTTGAATAGATCAAGATAAAGACATGGTTTAAGGAGGTTACTGGGCCTGGTAGGGTAGACTCCTCTCTCGGCCATCAGTGAATCTGAGATTAAAGAGAATGGGGCTTCAATTGATTATGCAGAATGCTAGTTGCTGAACTTGAATTCAGAATAAAGTACGTTGTATAGTTCTGAAGGTTATGTCACCTGGCCAAGGTGGGGTCTGGTAAACTGTCCTTGCCTGTCACATCACAGTACATTTCTTGGGTGACTGGAATGTTTAAATATACTGCAGACTCTTCCCCATATGATGCTGTAGAAACACTACAGTAGATTGAGACTTGTCCATGAATTTTCTTTTTCTAGATATATTGCAGATCATCTACTTTTGGTTTACATATACTAATTTTAGAAAGTCCATTAAAACGAATTGACTAAGTTTGTACTTTCTTAGATATAATCATCTAAGAATGTTGTAATCTTGTCTTCTGTGTAAACTGGATTGGATTTGGAATGTTAATAAAAAACTTTTCAGCAATCAAATTGGATAGATATTTCCTTGGGCTGATTTTTACCTATGACTGATCTTATCCATCATTTAGTAGCATGCTTTTGATGTTTCAGTTGTTCATGGTCTTATTAATAAAGTCACTAAGATTTATTTTATTTTTAAAAATTTTATTTATTGATTTTAGATAAAGAGAGGAAGGGAGAGAGAGAGAGAGAAAGAGAAAGAGAGAGAGAGAGAGAGAGAGAGAGAGAGAGAGAGAGAAACGTTAATTTGTTGTTCCACTTATTTATGCATTCATTGGTTGATTCTTATATGTGCCCTGATTGGGAACTGAACCCACAACCCTGGTGTATCAGGGCAATGCTCTAATTGAGCTATCCAGTCAGGGCCACCAAGATTTACTTTAAATTAGCCTGTTATCTTTGCTAAAATTACTGGATGAATAAGGATAGTAATAATAATAATAATAATAAACCAATAACAACAATGATAGAATAAAGCATTCACTTGGCACTGGGCTCTGTTCTTTATATTATATATACATTACATATGTATGTATGTATGTATGTATGTATGTATATATGTATACACACACATATATAGTCTTTACTCTTATAACCTTAACACTAGAACACTCTGGCACATAGTTGTTGCTCAATAATATATATATTTATTATAAAACATATATTTATATATATGTTTTAATTTCCTCACCCAAGGTCATTTTTTTGTATTTATCTTGAGATAGAGCAAGAGGGAAAGAGGGAGGAAAAGAGCGCGAGCGAAACATTGATGTGAGAGAGACACATCAAGTGGTTGCCACCACACACGACCCCAACCGGAGCCGAGGGCAAACTGCAACTGAGGTACGCGCCCCTAGCAGGAACCGAACCCAGACCTCTCTGGTCCGCGGGCGACACTAACTGCTGAGCCAAATCGGCCAGGGCTTCAGTAATATTTCATACATGAGTGAGAGAGAAACAGGGTTGGGAAACAGTGGCTTGGGCCATGGTGATGGGTCAAATGGCAAGCAGGAACAATTAGACTTTAGGTGACTAGAAACAGGTGGAAGATTCCAATAGCTAAGTAAGGGCCATTAATTTGCTATTTTACGCGAAGTGAAACTGGTTAAAACTGTAGAAGTGGGGAGAGGAAATAGTTGAATTGTGTAGTTTTGCATCCAGTATTGTGTAAATCAAGGGACTGTCTGTTTTCCCATCTCATCCCATCCTTTGTCTGGGTCGAGGACCCAGGAATTCTTTGTCCTAAAACTTTTATCTTCTTCCCATCTGGGCCTAGATTTAGACCTCTAATATGTTTTTTCAAATCCTGTAACCTCTGGGTCAGCAATGTTGCCAGGGTCGACCCAGTTTCCTTTGTCCAGGAAGCAACTCAGACACAGGCTCACTTAATTTTCCTCTGGGGTTGCACGCTATTAGGTTTAAAATGTTCCGTTTTTAATCCCTCACGGTGTGCTGCAGACACAACCCGGAATGGGGTTGCAGATACACGAACGAGGGGTGGGGGTGTTAGCGGGGCGGGGTAGGGAGCTCTCCCTCCTGAATTCTAGCCTTCTTCCTGCAAACCCGGCTCTGCGGACCGGAACAGGTGCAGGGATGAAATGCTGGAGGTGGTGGGGGAGGCGCGAGATAGGGTTCAGCACTAGGAAGAACTCAGGCTTACAACCCAGCCTCCAGCGATTGAATCAGGGTGTGTCACCATGGAGATGGGGCCGGCCCTCCTGCTAGGCTGCCATTGGCTGGGTACGCCTGGGCTGGGGATATAAGCCCGCGCGGGTTCACACTAACTGTGCGGGCGGGACGGCTGCGGCAACCCAGCTCAGCGGAGCAGAACCCTGCGGAGAAGGGCAGGCTCACCGAGAGAGGGTCGGCGCGACCATGGAGAAGCGGTGAGGCGGACACCAGGCCGGAGGAACCCCAAAGGCCTCTGGGGAGTGGAAATGGCTGTCGCTGAGACCTGGAAACTTGGCACTCCGGCCCCAAGGTGGCCAGGAGAGGGAGCGAGTGCCCTGGAGATGCAGAGGCCTGGCACGGAGCCGGGTGCCAGGAACTAATCGGCAGAGCAGTGGGGAGGCTTGCGCCGGCAGGGGCGCACGTGGGAATCGAGCTGGGGTGGTGGCACCAGAGCTGGAAGGGGACCGGGTAGTAGTGTAGTCCATTCGGAAAGGGAGCCGGTTTGTGGTTGTGTGGGGGTATAAGTGTAGAGGGAGGCATGCACCATTCCCCCTCCCCCCCCACACCCACACCCACACCCCATGTGCTCTTCATAGATTCCCATTCTAGAGTCTAGGTAGTGTAAGAACGAGACGGAAGGAGGCGGTGCAGGGTCTCCAGAAGTGCAGGTTTATTGGGAATTAGCCTGCTGGACTACCTCTGAGGAGAGAGTAGCAACCAGCTTGTACAGACTAAGGATTTTTAAACTCAGGGCTGGTCGATGAGCCGAGATGTGGTGGTCTTTGGTCGGGCCTGGGGTCTCCCGAGTTCTTGATTGGTGGGAGGCTGGGGTCTCCTGAAACTTGTTTTTCTTCTCTGTGTGACCCTTTGCAGTTTTGGGTGGGTTAGGGTAGTTCCGTCATCACCTTTCGCCTGACTGGTGTGATGGGTTTTGGTTTTCTGGAATGAGAGGCTTAGGGAAAGGTTAAAATAAGAGTGATGGGTTTTGGTTTCTTGGAATGAGAGGCGTAGGGCAGTAATGTGGAAGGTAAGAGCTAACAGGTAAAGTGGTAAAGTACCTTTTGGCTCATATCCTTCAGAGGAGATACCATTCACATCCTCTCCAACATATCCGTTCCCTCCAAATTGGAGATTCAATTAAATTGGGAATGGAGTCTCCAAGGAGAAAAGGAAATCCTTATTTAGTGAACCGAGCAATAGACCCTACCCACTGCCTCACCTCACACCTTTGAAAACCCTTCTCTCTACTTTGGCCCTGGAAGTCTCCGTCCAGCTCTCCAGCACTAGGGATTGCTGGCTTTTGGATGTCCAGGGATCTAGCGTGTTCTTGGGGGACTGATGGCCAATGAGGAAGTCCTATAAGCTGTGGCTAGATATGCTAGGTGTCCAGGGCTTCACACTTCTTTCATTTCCCTTGCACATCTTGGGGATGCTATTTGATGAACTTTTTGCCATTTTATTGCTTCTCTTCTCCAATATCCTGTATCCTCCATCTCTATTGCCCTCACCCCTGTCCCTTACCCGGCTACTTTCCCAAGGGTATCCCAGTGTATTGTAGAGCCATCTTGGTTTCAAAGGCTCTGCTTCTGAACGATAGGATTTCCTCTAGCTCCATTAGTTGTGTTTAGCTGTTGCACCTCAGTTTGACCTTTTTTTCCCTTCAATGTTTCATCTTTCTAGATGAGTGTGAGAATTGGACTGAACTTGTGAGAAAAATTCCAGGTCGATTTTTTTTTTTTTTTTGTGGGGTGGTGGTGAATGTATGAGTTCTGAGTAAGTGTGTGTCTAGGTTTTTGAAGGGCAAAGAATCTTGGTGAAGAGAAGGGAAAATGGGAGAAAGATTCAAGAGCTGTGGAGCCAAACCATGATTTATAGCTTATTAGCAACAAGGCTTTAATTAATTTTCAAACTGAGCCTATAAGATAGGTGGGGCCCTTTACCCTTCTTGATTTGATTATTTCAACTGTACTTTTGTAGACTCTGTGGTCCCTTCCTCTCTAAATCTTTGTCATAAAGAGAGGTGTTTTTTGTTTTTTTTTAATTTGTTAGAAAATGCTCTTTTTTTTTTTTCCTTTATTGATTTTTAGAGAGACATAAAGGGAGAGAGGGAGAGACAGATAGAAACATCAATGAGAGAGAACATCAATTGGCCACCTCCTGCATGCTCCCACTGGGGATTGGGCCCACAACCTGGGCATGTGCTGTGACCAGGAATCAAACTGGTGACCTCTTGGTGCACGGGTCAATGCTCAACCACTGAGCCACTCCAGCTGGGTGTAAGGAGAGGTATTAAACCTGACAGTGGTAACAAAACTTAACTTGGGGCTGGTGGTGGAAACATTAACTTTGTTAGGCTTTGGAATGAATTTCATTTCAGACTTTCAGTGGGTCTGATTCAGAAAGGGGAGTGGGCAGGTGGGTGAGTTTAGTGTGGCATTGCCTAAGAGAGAGGAGCCTCCACTTTGGCTAGCTTCTCTGTCCTTTGCCACCTCAGTATCTCTGCCAGCCTTTCTGCAGTAAAGATCATTAGTCTATGATACCCTTGGTATGAGAGCAGAACTCACTTTGATTTTTCTTTTTTTCTAGATTCACATATGAAGATTATCAACACACTGCAGAATGGCTTCTGTCCCACACCAAGCACCGACCTCAAGTGGCAGTGATCTGTGGTTCTGGCTTAGGAGGCCTGACTGATAAATTGACTCAGACCCAGGTCTTTGACTACAGTGAGATACCAAACTTTCCCCAAAGCACAGGTACTGGCAAGGAGGAGAGAGAGATGGGACTGAGGGATACGGATGGAATTCTGATGGGAGGGGAATGCTTCTATGCCCAGACCTGATTATACTCTATCGTATCAGACTAAAGACAACTGTTGTAAGAGTGAAAAATTAATCATCATGAAACAGAAGGACTTTAGAATGAAATTCCCCTAGAAAGAGTTTCATAATAGTCGGGCCATATATGTGTCAGTGGTATTGTATGATGACATATTTCCTATGCTTTAATGACTCAGAGTTCCTGAAAGCTTTACAAAACCTCCCCATACACATACTCACACGCCTATCTCATATCTGTCACTCTGCAGCTTAAATGGAAAAAGCCTTGCCTGTCACTTCCCATGACAAAGTAGGTCCTCCCCTGTCCTCCTGACATTTCTAATCTCCCTAGCTCTAGCTTCAGTCCTAGGATAAGGCACAGTCTAGTGCACAACAAATGAACACACAGACTACCATGTTATTGCAAACAAATATACAAGTAATCCATGAATACACAGAACCTAACACACTGACCCTTTTGAGGAGGAAAAGGGCAGATGTCCCCTATACACTGTGGAGGTCTGAGGGACCTGAGGATAACACACTCAGCAACCGAATAGCACCTGGAAAGCTCTACAGCTAAGGCTTAGAAAGGGGCCAGGTGAAATACGGGCAAGTTTCAAGTAAAGTACAAGGGTAGCTTATTTGGTTTACTTATTAATTTCTCAGGTAATTAACTTCCCTTGGTTAATTTAATAGTTCTTCCTTCCTCTTGTCCCTAGAGAGTTATGACTTTAAACATATTTTTCAAATCCTTTGGAGCAAGACTGGGAGACCAGAGCAGGAAGGTGGGAAAGGGGGTTGGAGAAGGAAATACTAAAAAGAAAGATGGAGAGCAAAATTCTGTAAGGGCTACAGTAGTAATGGACATTGGCTCCACCTGCCACTCCTACGCTCAGTGAGAAGGGCACTGTACTAAGTGATAAGGGGATTCATTCTGTAAAACTTTATCAAGTTATTATTTATACTCCACTTATTTTCCTAACTCTCACCTCTATTCTATTATTGGTATATATATATTTTTTTAAATTTTAAAACAAACTTCTCTATTTCTGAATATCTCTCAACTTTTCCTCTTGGTTTTGGCTCTTCTCCCAGACCATCCATTCCTTAAAGGATAAGTTGGCCATGTCCATTAGAGGAGAAATGCCAGATAAGGAAAATGGTAATAATGGTTATTACATCTGTGTGAGATTTACTTTTGTACTCCCATGCCCCTGTGTGCCCCATCATGGGCATGTGTTCCCACAGAACAGTTTGGGGGTCCTAAAGGAGAAGACTTGTATGGGTCCAAACTCAGCCCCTTGCCCTTGTTCAGTATACTCTGTAGGAAGCAGAATATACCATGAACCCCTTTCAGGACTGACAATGCATGTAGTTTGTTTTGGGTAATAAATAGGAATACATTTTGAGAATTTTAGAAAAGTGGTCTATAAATATTACATTCATTATTATCCACTTATTCTATTCTTTTGCTCATTTTTATTCTCTTACTGCATGGCTTTCTCATTCTTTTGAAATTTCTTTAAAAAAACATTTTCCCCTTCCTTTGATATATGTTCGCATTGAACATCCTTATCCCCATAGTTCTAATCTTAGGATGTACTTATGTATTTATTTGTAAGTTTATAATTTCTATCTCCACCAAACCTAAAATTTCTGAAACTGAAGATAATAATGTCTTCTTTTGCTTAATTATATCCTCACATGTTGAGCACAGTGAGTTGGCTTATAGCAGGTGCTTACTGGATATATATTGTTTGAAAACATCACCCCATTAATTTCTCTTTCTTCCTTTGTATTCAGTGCCAGGTCATGCTGGTCGACTGGTGTTTGGGTTCCTGAGTGGCAGAGCCTGTGTGATGATGCGGGGCAGGTTCCATTTGTATGAAGGCTACCCACTCTGGAAGGTAAATTGGGGGCATAAGTCTGGTTGGATCTGGAAGAGAGGGGAGGGAGATTGCCTAACTACCTGGGCTAGGTAAATTTTTGGTTTTCTCCCTTCATGATGTATAGCATGCATATCTGAATAGTGGATTGGTGAAATTTTAAAAAACATTTTCTGATCTTTTATCTTTTGATTCTAAGGTGACATTCCCAGTGAGAGTTTTCCACCTTCTGGGTGTGGACACCCTACTGGTCACCAATGCAGCTGGAGGGCTCAACCCCAAGTTTGAAGTTGGAGACATCATGCTGATCCGTGATCACATCAACCTACCTGGTCTCTGCGGTGAGAACCCTCTCATGGGACCCAATGATGAAAGGTACTTATTTTGCTCCTTTGTTTATAGATGGGAGGGTTTAAGGACTTGTCTGGAAGTGAGGAGAGAGCTCATTGTAGTCCATTAATCCGAGATAATCCAACCTGTGCCCTAGGTTTGGAGTTCGTTTTCCTGCCATGTCTGATGCCTATGACCAGGAGATGAGGCAGAAGGCTCACAGTACCTGGAAACAAATGGGGGAGCAGAGAGAGCTACAGGAAGGCACCTACGTTATGGTGTCAGGCCCCAGCTTTGAGACTGTGGCAGAGTCTCGTATGCTGCAGAAGCTTGGTGCTGATGCTGTTGGTAAGTGGTACTTGGCCGGAGGCTTGAAGAGGGAGGGGTCTTGTAAAATAGAGATGGGAAAGAGTAAAAGACTGTAGACCTAATAGTGGATTGAGAGAAGATCTGACTTAAGGAAGATTGACTTGCTAGAAAGCAATTTCTAGAAAGATATTAAGGTGGTGAAGTTTAGTGTGTTGTAGCATCAAATCTCCCCACTCAGCATCAAGGTCTTTAACAGCTGTAATGCTAATGACCTATCCTTGATTTGATAACTGTTCCCAAGAATTATTCTAACAAATGTCGAGGCCACCTTCTGCACCTCTGGCTGGAAGATGGAGCTGCATCATTAGAAGTGACTTCAAAATGACCACAGACAGTACAGAGTGGGTTAAACAGTGAGGAAGAGTCATTTGAGGATCCTGACACTTGGCTTCCCTTTCTTTCCAGGTATGAGCACAGTACCTGAAGTTATAGTTGCAAGGCACTGTGGACTTCGAGTCTTTGGCTTCTCTCTCATCACTAACAAGGTCATCATGGATTATGAAAACCTGGAGAAAGCCAACCACGAGGAAGTACTAAATACTGGGAAACAAGCTGAACAGAAATTGGAACAGTTTGTCTCCATTCTCGTGGCTAGCATTCCACAGCCTGACCGTGCCAGTTAACCAGCTCTGGAGTGGTCTGGCCTCTCCGTTATGTACCCAAGTAGTTACTACATACTTTCGACCCTTGCTGGGGTGATATGCCTCTGGCCTTAGATAGTAGCAGAAAGAAGAGAAAGATCCCTACCCTTCACTTCCCCACTTCTCTTACCAGACCCTTCTGGTGCCTAGTGCTCTTTTACTCAACTGTCTTCTCAAAAACAGTTTCTACCCCCATTATTTCCCAAGAGCTGGAGCCCAAGCCAAGCCCTACTACACATCCGTAAATGTTCCCAGGATTTGACTTGGGCTACTGAATTTGACACAGTGGTAGTTGCTGCTAGCTTTCTGAGATGAAGCTTTCACATTCCTGGGGACTCAGTTCTACCTCCCACAAAGTACTGGAGACCACACAGAGATTAGCTCAGTGCCTCTTGGACTTTAATATTATCATATTTTGACAATAAAGAGAAAGGTGAAATAATTTCTTCATTTTTGTGCATTTTGGCATAAGGCTGGGGCACAGACCAAGATGACATGAAAGACTGGGAGACTACATGTCTTGGGTGACTATCTGCTTTTCAGACAAATAGCAAAGAACTGCGATGATGTGGTATGTGGAAAGGATGAAGAAGAGGCAAGATGATGAAAATAGAGAAAGACATTAGAAAATGACAAGGAAGGGCTAACTTATGGCATAAAATGGCCACTTCCCTCAAGCCAGTCTTGCCTCTGCCCTTTGCCTTCTGATTGTTTTCCTGTCTACATTCATGAATATCTTAATTAGTTTACTAATTTCCACTTCTGTTCCATTTTTTTCTAGTTCTTTGTGAAGCCCTACTTATATTTCCTCTTGCTTTCCCTCTCTCCACGACTCTAACTTCCATAATTAATAGCAACTCTGCTCTTCTTCACTCCATTCTGACAATGCAGTGACAAGTACTCCTTTATCAGCTGCCAGCCACTTCACTGCTGATTAGGGTTTTGTCAACCCCAGGCAACTTGTAAAGTTGGCTCATATTCAACTTCTCTTTGAGTACTTTCCCTCACCCTACTGCTAACACTGGCTCTAGTGTTTCTCTTCATTTTAGCTTGGTCAAAACCTCCCTGTGACGCAGCAACCAGGCCCTTTTTGGCTCATGGCACTGTTAGTGTTTATCAGCTTGCATTCAGCTGGCTGGCATGTTTGAAAAGCACACTACACTCCCGGCCTGTATGCCATTTGAGAAAGGATAGTGCTGGATGAACCTCTAATGGTGACATTCCAATTATTAGTAGTATAATAAAGAAGAAGCATCTTGGATGGAAAGCTTTTGAGAACTCTCAAATAATTCTTTGTTTGGATCATTTGACCTACTTAGATGAGACCAGCATGAAGGAAAAGCTTCCTGGAATGGTCCTGTTACCTCTCTCCCTTTCCTCAGTTCTTGTTCTTCCACCTAGCTCGAAAATCCTACCTGAAACTTTAGGCACCTGCCATTTTCTCTGAGAGAACTGAAGTTGAAGGAAGAAGCACTATGAGGCCTTAGGTATATACACAGCCATAACTTGTTCATCTAATGAGATGCTTTATAGACATCTTTTTAATCAAGTTATTGAGTATCACCATATAACATTCAACTAATATAATATTAAATTAAGAATATAAAATGAGCCCTGGCCGGTTTTCTCAGTGGTTAGAACGTCAGCCTGTGGTCCGGAGAGACCGGGTTAGGTTCCCGCTACGGGCATGTACCTCGGTTGCAGTTTGTCCCTGGCTGTGGTTCGGTCCTGCGGGTGGCAACCATTCTGTGTCCCTTTCACATCAATGTTTCTCTCTCTCTCCCTCCCATTCTATCTGAACAAAAAATGAAAAAATGTCCTTGGGGGAGAATAAAAAAAAAAGAATATAAAATGATCTTTCCTCAAGTGCCTAACAACTTTTTAAAATGTATTCTTCAATTACAGTCAACATCCAACACTATTTTATATTAGTTTCAGGTGTACAGCACAGTGGCCAGACAATCATAGAATTTATAAAGTAGTCCCCCTGATAATACAAGTCCCCCCCTGGCAACATACATAGTTATTCCATATTATTGACTGTATTCCCTATGCTCTACTTTATATACTTATGACTATTTTGTAACTACCAGTTTGTACTTCTTAATCCCGTCACCTTTTTCACCCAGTTCCCCAACCTTCCTGCCCTCTGGCAACCATCGGTTTGTTCTCTGTATCTATGAGTCTGTTTCTGTTTTGTTTGTTCATTTATTTTGTTCTTTAGATTTCACATATAAGTGAAATCATGGTATTTGTCTTTCTCTGACTTAGTTCATTTAGCCTAATACCCTCTAGGTCCATCCATGTCACAAATGACAAGATTTCATTCTTTTATATAAGTGCCCTACAATCTTAAGAGAGATACATTTGTAAAACCATTAACTTAATATAAGGCAGTATAAAACAGGTACAAGTCACATGTGATGGGAGCCCAAAGGATGAACAGATTGTATATATTGGACCATGAGGATTGGTTGTTTAGGGAGAGTTTTTTTTTTTTTTTATCCTCACCCGAGGACATTTTTTCATTTTTTGTTCAGATAGAGTAGAAGGGAGAGAGAGAGAGAGAGAGAAACATCCATGTGAAAGGGACGCATCGAGTGGTTGCCACCCACATGACCCAACCAGGGCCGGGGACAAACTGCAACCAAGGTATGTGCCCTTAGCGGGAACTGAACCTGGGCCTCTCCAGACCACAGGCCAACGCTCTAACCGTTGAGCCAAACCGGCCAGGGCTGTTTAGGGAAAGTTTTATAGGAAACTTTGAGTTTACTCTTCAAGGGTGGAAGGAAGAAAGGATTTCACACCAGAATGAGAATAGCACAGAGCTATGAAAAGTACTAGGCATGTTTGTGGGTCATTGTCACAATAGATGTTACTGGAACAGAGGACATGAAGGGCTCTAGTGAGATGTGGGCAGACAGTATTTGGAGGTCAGAGGAGGGCTGCTTTTGGTGCATGTGTATACATAGTTTTTTGAAGGATATGTTTATTTTAGAGAGAGGAAGGGAGAAAGAGAGAGAACATTGATATGAGAGAAACATCAACTGGTTGCCTCTGAGTATGCTCCACGACTTGGGAATTGAGCCCACAACCTAGGTATGTGCACTGACCAGGAATGGAACTTGCAACCTTTTTGGTGTACGGGATGACACTCTAACCAACTGAACCACCCGGCTAGGGCTGATGCTTGGTTTTCTTACCCCTGATCTGCCTCTTGGTGAGATGATCAGGAACCAGAATGGTCCCACCTGAAAAATCTGAAAGAGAAGAGTAGAATATTTATGGGCATTTTTAGCATTTTAGATTTAGTAGAGGATGTGTTTCATGACAGAATACTAGATTCAAGGAGAAAATTATGCATTTGATGTTCTAATTCAAAAGTCTAATTTCTTAGTTCTAACTTACCGTACAAATAGTAGCATTCATCTGCTTTGTGTATATACATACACCAAGTGTATATATCACTATATTCATGTTAGAGTATTAAATATACCCCCCAAAGTGACAAAACAAAATTTTGATTTATTTTATAAACAAACTAAGAAGTATGGCAAGGAAAGTAGCTACAGGCAAGTGATAATCAATTATAGGTAAGAAGTATTAATTCAAAGTTAATTCATTTGAGGGGCTATGTGTTGGGGAGAGAGAACATGAGCACAAAGAGTCTTCAATTTCTATTTTAAAATAGCTTTACTGAGATATGATTCATATATAACGAAGTTTACCCTTTCAAAGTACGTAGATCAGTGTTTTTTAGTATATTCAGAGATAAATGCTATCACCGTCACAGTCAATAGAACATTTTCATCACCTCAAAAGGAAATCTTGTAGCTTTTAGCTGTCATTCTGCACACACCCCCACCTCCCCAGCCCAAGGGACCACTAATCTACGTTCTGTCTTTATAGATTGAACTATTTTGGACTTTCGTGTGAATAGAATGATATATGGATTCTTACGGACTTTTGTGACTGGCTTCTTTCACTGAGCATAATGTTTTCAAAGTTCATCCAAGTTGTAGCATGCATTCGTACTTCCTTTTTATGACCAAATAATATTCCATTGTATGCATATACCACTTTTTTTTTTTTTTTTTTAATCAAATGCCTTCAGTTTCAAAGTGCCAAATAACCTTGCCCAAACTGAATGTATCAGTTTAGGTAACCAAGAGAATAAAAGCACAAAGTCAGGGGAGATAGGTCTGGGAGGGCCACCCAAAGAAGGATTTTTCTCTATACAAAAACACAAAAAACTAACGACAAGACTTCTCCAGAGGGGCCTGCAGAATGTCTGCAAAACGAATTGTTTTTCCTGAATCTCATGGTGTCAAAACATACTCTTCATCAAGTTAGGCTTTCTTTCCTGACCCTATCATCGGCATCTTTATCAATAATGTTTATTAATCATGTACTTTGAATAGAAAATTGTCCTAAAAACCATACTATACATTGGTAATAAAATGAAATGCTTGTAATCTAGATGGGAGACAGGACACATGTATAAAGAAGGAAAAACAAGCTTGAATTAGTTGTGCCTTCTATACTTATTTGTAGTCTTTTCATGTTATATTGTCATTGTTTAAAATTGGCTTCCACCACTGAAATATGAGTAAGAGGGACTACCTTTTTATTTTATTTTTTTCCTTTATTGATTTTAGAGAGGGAGAGAGAGATAGAAATATCAATGAGAGAATATCGATTGGCTGCCTCCTGCATGCCCCTGCACTGGGGATTTGGCTCACAACCTGGGCAGGTGCCCTGACTGGTAATTGACCCAGCAACATCTTGGTGCATGGGTCGCTGCTCAACCACTGAACCACACCAGGCCAAACAGGGACTACCTTTTTCAAAAAGGAATGCAATAATGTGTGAAAAGTAGCATGTGCTAAGTGTCAGTGATGGCTTGTGCTATAGGAAGTCAGAGGAGAGAATTAACACTGGGGTGGGGAGTGGGAAAAAGATTGATGAGACTAGAGTTAGGTCTCGCGGGAAAGAGAGGTAAAGAGGATTGGCAGAAGGTACTGCATGGAGGTGAATTCAGGAATGTTTAATCATTTAACAGGCTGAAATGGTTAAATTGAAGAAATCATTAATGGGAGCAGTGGGAGATAAGGTGGAGAGGGGACTTCATTGTTTAGGGCTCTGATTCCAGGTTGAGGAATAACAACTTTATTCTTTTTTTTTTTTCTTTCAGTTTATAGCTTATTTTTTTACTGTTTTTTTCCACCCAAACAACACACAGGTACACTCTGAGCTTTCATCTCAGTTACAGTATATTCAGAATTTGGGGCTTTCACCCTCACTGATTCTCTATTTTTTAAAATTCCCCTCTTACTTCCCAAACTTTCTGGCAATGTTAAATTTTGTGTTCTGGTATTTCTTTCTTTCTTTTTTTAAATTTATTTTTTTTTTATTTTGAAAGTATTACAGATATCCTCCCCC